ATAGGGCGGGCACAGACGGTAACAGGGCGGGGACAGACGGTAATAGGGCGGGCACAGACGGTAACAGGGCGGGGTCAGACGGTAACCGGGCAGGGTCAGACGATAACGGGGCGGGCACAGACGGTAACAGAGCAGGATCGAGTCAAGTAGTTAGTTCAATGTCGAGTAAAGTACTGTAAGCGGTCCAGCCAAGAGTCAGGTCAAGGTTAAGGTTATGGGGCTTAACTCACTCTCAGAGGACATTTTAAGTCTAGTCAGGAGTCAGTTCGGGGTCAGGTCGGAGACAGAGGTCAGCATTCCGGGACAGTCGACCGAACTAGTGGCGACTGATGGTTTAAACTGATGAGTCATCAATCGAGGACTTAGGATTTATCGGAAAAAATAAGGTGCCGAGTTGATCGATGTCTGCTTTGTCAGAAATAAGTAAACAAAACACGGCACCTTCATAACTGGCTTCCTGCCCCGTTGACGTCTTAGAATATCGCGAATGTAGAGAGTGATACGGCGAGAGCTCTCAGTGGCACTATGCTGCTATGGGGGTCTCATAAGTTAGAAACACCATTCCTAGTCACTGCATGATGGTTCAAAGCCCTGAGTTATGAACAGGTAGGAACGCTTCACTTCAGAGGCTCCCAGAAAGGCCCGACAAGACACCGGAGCGGCCTCAATAGCTTTCAGACCAAGTACAGCGATTGCGTCTATACTGGTGCGACACAATGCAAACTTTACAAATAGTTTTAATATTTTGAACGCGAGCACTTCCGAGACCTGGATTCAAGTCAGGCAAAGTTTGGTGCGCAGGCCCATGACCTATTTAAAGGAAGACTGCCACCTTCAAAAAGTTTTCTCAGATCGGCCTATGATTTATTCCCTGGACAAAACAAAATTTTAGAATTCACCTGACAAAGTATCATCACGTGAATCGCGAAAAAAAAAATGTCGATTATCATACAATTATCAATCGGTTAATGTCTAGCGACAATGTTTACACATCACTATACTTCAAGGTCATAAGATTATTACATTTTATTTGAAAAAGTAAGGTATTTTATGATTTACTAATATATGATTTCATAAGAAATTGGCCATGTTTAATTTATTTTGCATTTAAGTTCGTAAAACATTTAAAAATCATGGCTCATTTGGAATGGGTCTGGCCCATGTTAAACCCCATTTCCCACACTTTTTTGGAAAAAATGAACTACTGAATATATAAGTTTAACTTTTATTTTGACACTCCAAAATTCTTCTCTGATCTCGAAACAATCAAAGTTTTGACATATATTTACCAAAAGATAAGAAAATAAATGTTTCAAAGTTATCGATAAACAGTAGAGATGTCGGTTTTCTTGGACTAAAAAAATGGCATCAAACTGAACTTTGGTCTCCGATTTCTCGCAAACGGGTTCGAATTTCGGAAAACCGACTTCAGTTTGGGACATAGGTGGCTCAGCTCTAGTGAAAACCGTTTTGTGGAAAAAAGGTGGCAGTCTACCTTTAACCCCTGGTTGGCCAATTCCAGCCAGGCGTCAGAATAAGGAGTTGACATTTTCGCGCTTCCCCACAGCTGAACACTGGACGGTGGGCAAGGCCCGCTCGGCCTGCCTGCTCCAGCCGGCCCGTAGCGCCACCAGTACCACTGTCACTGACCACAGGTCATAGCTGTCAGTGGCAGGCAGCGGGCGGCGGGCGGCTCGTGCCGAGCTGTCACCACCGGCCACTCACAGCGGCTCGTGCCGGGCTGTCACCACCGGCCACTGACAGCGGCTCGTGCCGGGCTGTCACCACCGGCCACTGACAGCGGCTCGTGCCGGGCTGTCACCACCGGCCACTCAGGAGTCCCCGCACACACAGCCACGGACAGGCGAAAAGATGAAGTAGTTTTGAAATAGGACAGGAGATAAAGTGAAATAGTATTAAAAATTGCATCTAAAAACGACATCTAAAGCCCAATGAGAGCCAGCATTGAGTTTCCCCGCGACAGGCTGGACGGGTGGGACGGGGTTCCCACTTCTTCGTCGGGCTATAACCCCGCAAGGGCACCGAATACGATACTTGTTACCAGCTGCTCAAACGTCACTTTATTTGAAAAAAATATACCTTATTTACATTATTTCCAACCGAGGCTACAATGTTTCAAAAATCGTTAAGGACCAATGAATCATGTACGAGATTGGACATACTGTTACAAAGCTGAAAACCAAATTCAAATGACCATCACAAGGCCAAAGTTATCAAATGGGGGCGTCCTCGACATAGTCGCTGGTGGCAAAATACCCCAGCAACCGCATCGGGCTCAGTACCGCAGTCTGAGAGCTTTCATAACTCTCTACAGAGTCTATCAATAAGCGAGCCTCTTGTACAGACGGCATCAGTTGCATTGAAAGCCAAACAGCAGCACGATCTGACTCGTCCATCAGTATGTCAGACAGCCCCATATCAACAGGGTAATGGAGTACATTGTATTGGTAACCCAATCCGAGCATTCGAGCGGCGAGGTCCTGGTAAAGTTCGTCTAGTGCTCAGCACTGCGCCGTCAATAAGAGAACCCTCCTATGAACCCTTAGCCTAGTTCAAAACATCCTAAAAATGCAGTGACAATGCCTGAAGTAGGTTGAAATGAGCCAGGTCATCAAGCTATATCCTATGGCTCTGTTACCACAAAATGAGTGTTAGCTCATAATACACTGAGGTGGAAGAGTACGCTAGTTTAAGGAACAGGCACTAATCAGTTGCCTATAAGTCTTTCGTTCGCAGGTTATAACCACCAAATATGCGATCATATGACATATAGCTATTTACGTATATATGGACCATTGTATACGTCATAGTTGTAAAAATCAACTGATTCCCCAGGGTCTAATCTAGTGACGAGCTTTGGAGCCATTCACAAACCATCCCTATTTACTATTCATCGAAGGAGCGAGCAAACATACCAAAATATAAAATGTCATGGGGAAATAGTTTCTATAAAAAGCATCGCACTGGAGGTCACGTATATTGGGTCACCATAATCTATATATAAAGAACTCCATACGTCACTCTAGGCCGATTACACACGCCCCCGGCGGGTACTGACACCCGTCCCCGGCGGGTACTGACACACGTCCCCGGCGGGTACTGAACTGACACCCGTCTCCGGCGGGTAATCAGACAGTTCCCGGCGGGTACTGACACCCGTCCCCGGCGAGTAGTCAGACAACCGTCCCCGGCGGGTACTGACACACGTCCCCGGCGGGTACTGACACCCGTCCCCCGGCGGGTACTGACACCCGTCCCCGGCGGGTACTCACCCAGGGGAAGCGCTGAAGGAGGCGAGCGCCTGCGACTGGGTGGTGGAGGTGCCGGCGCCGTTGGAGGCCACTGGTGAGGTCACGTCGGTGACCTCGTGGATGACCGGCCCGGGAGAGCAGGCACTCGACTGGAAACACAGCGTCGTACACAGGTCATACACAAACACACATATGGCGGGTGGGGCACGACAGACAGACAGACAGACAGACAGACAGACAGACAGACAGCCGAGGCACATAGCAGGGACACGGGGAGCGATGACGAGCTATTCGTGCGGCCCTGAGGAGGAGTTCGCCAAAAGTTCCGGCTTAGAATTAGCGAACGAGGAAGAAGGTGGGATGACTATTGAAAGCCGCAGGCAATATGGTTGGCGAGGGGGAGGAATCTAACAAAATGTCTACAATAGTTACCTTTACTTACGACACACAGTATCTACTTGAGTTTCTATCCTAGCCAATAGGTAACAGTCATTTAGCAGCATCACCGGCTAGCTTATGACGGAAGTCGCAAATATCGGCGCAAATCACACCCTGATTCTACAACAGAGCAAGCCATCTAGGCGTTATTTATGCGGCGATAAATCCTTCGAGACCGAGCCCCTTACAAGTAACGCTACAGCCGTGAAAACAGCCCCTAGTCAGCCGAGCAACATCCGTCAGCGGGTGATCAGCCGATAGCCCAGGCCGTGGAAATACTTCCTCTCTGGCGAATAGGAGAGCGACTATAACCTCACCCTCTGAGGAGCGACCGCACCCTTCTGCTCCCTCTCTGGGAGACGACCCAGTCCCCGTGATAGCGACCCGCGTCTCGTACCGCTATCGATCGGTTGTCGATGGAGGCGGCCATGTTTTCGTCCATGGAGTAGGTGCGGGTGAGCCGGGGCGCCTTGGCGGACGGGCCGCCGCCGCTGTCCTCCAGCATCGGCAGCTGCTTGCGCTTCAGACCCATGAACGAGCTGGTGCCGCGTCCCGTCTGGAGGAACGGCACCAGGAACTGGATCACCTGTAACGACAGAAAGGGAAGACAGTTGATCACCTGTAACGACAGAAAGGGAAGACAGTTGATCATCTGTAACGACAGGGGGAGACAGTTGATCACCTGTAACGACAGAGCGGGACAGTTGGTCATCTGTAGCGACAGAGGGGGAGACAGTCGATCACCTGTAACGACAGAGCGGGACAGTGTGGTCAGTTGGCAGTGGGACAGCATGGTAAGGAAACCCTTTGTATTAATTTACCGGTGGGAGCAGTGCACAGTCTGTTATTCCTGTACCGCTAATTAGGAACAGTATGTGGACCTGCAAAGACAGTTAGGGACAGTACGTGGTCAGTTGGAAGTTGGAACTCTGTAACGACAATTAGGGACAGTGTGTGGTCATTTCGTCCTCTGTAACGACAATTAGGGACAGTGTGTGGTCGGCTGGTCCTGTAACGACAATTGGGGATAGTGTGTTGTCAGTTGGTCCTGTAACGACGGTGAGGGACAGTGTGTGGTCAGTTAGTCCTCTGTAACGATAATTAGGGACAGTGTGTGGTCAGTTGGTCCTCTGTAACGACAATTAGGGACAGTGTGTGGTCGGCTGGTCCTGTAACGACAATTGGGGACAGTGTGTTGTCAGTTGGTCCTGTAACGACGGTGAGGGACAGTGTGTGGTCAGTTGGTCCTCTGTAAAGGCTGAAACAGACTCGTTCCGCAGCCACGAAATCGCATGCCAGAGCCTCTTCAAATCCATTATATTGCTCTCGCATCAATCGTACGCACGCAGCGTGTCGCAGCGTAATTTTAGGCATTTGAATAGGCTCTCGCGCGCGACTTCCTGACTGCGGAAGGAGTCTGTTTCGGCCATAACAACAGTTAGGGACAGCGTTAGGGACAGTTGGTCCTCTGCTGATACGGCCAGCGGAGAATGGAGCGCAGTCCTCTGAAATACCATACGCAGGGACAAAGACCGGTCGACATTGATACACATCAGCGACGCAGGTGCTCAGAACTGCACTGCGGTAAACAAACTGCGGCTACTGTTCCGTGAACTAACTACCTAGCTGTACCCAAACCAATTAATTCCCAAGAGGGTGTGTCGAAGTAATAATCGATAGCCAATTATTCAGCACACAGGTTCACTGAGAAGTTCGGTCGATCAAACCATCACGGCAATAAGCTGGCATTAAAAATTCCAGGAGCCCAACTCCCATTTGCTCTGTGCACCGCGCTCCTAACGATGTAATTAGGTAGTTGTGCTAAAAACAGCGGGCGCATGGCGGACATCATTTAGGACCGAAACGACAAAACTCAGCCGCAGGCGTGGCGCAGGCAGGAGTGTGGCGAAGGTGTCGCGATATGAGGTATTGCTAGGTTTTGCGTATAGTCTCTCTTGAGCGTATCGCCTCATGAGTTACGGCAGCTCCGCGAACTATTCCACTCAGTTTGAGGACCCAAGCAGTGAGGTCATAGACTGTACAGTCGTGTACAGGTTGATGGTCCTCTACTCTTTATCCACCGGGTTCCTATGGCTCAGCATTGACAGCAGCCGCCTGGTACCGGTAGGCTGTGCCGCATGACCCGAGAGTGAAGCGGCACAGTCTACCCACGCCGTTTGACATCGGCTCGGGTCGCCGGGTGGAGCGCTTTGTAGACCAGCTGTTGCGTCAGACCAGCGCGGGGGGGAGGGGCTCGTCTCGGTGGTTGGCGTGGGCTGGCGAGTGGTGTGGGGCGTGTTGGTGGACCATGGGGGCTGGGCGGGTGTGTGTGGTCACTTGCTGCATTGCACATTTTGCGTCGCTTAACAATTGCATTCCTGTTTTTGCTAGGCACAATGCACGGAAGACCCAGCGAATATAATTTACTTTACTTGTGCATTGTGCAAAACGTGATTTGCCACGGTATCGAGGCAACCATAGGTCTTGTGCCTATGCATGATATTTAGGCAATACGTTTATGAAAACGGTAGATTGATGCTGGATGTCAATTCGTATTGCTAAATGTCGGCACGTATTAAATGAATGAATGAATCAATCAATCAATCAAACAATCAATAGACATGTATGAAACCGTTTAAATGGCTCGCAACCACTAATAGCAATCACACCATCCTAACTCGGAAAAGCAGCCGGAGCCCTGATGAGGCTCGAACCGGGACTCCACGCTGTAAATTTTGCCGATGATCCATCATCATTCCACCAAGCTAGAGTAACCGGCACCCGAACCCACAAAAACATTAAAGGGACTGTCCCACCTTCAAAAAATTGCTTTGATATACTGTTCTTGTGTTGCAAGACATAGATTAGGGGCCCCTGTACACGAAATTGGCAAACATTCGGCCCATAGTTGGCTAATTGTTTAAAAATTCAAATTTAAAGCTTTTGGATCGATTACGTCATATGATTGTTTTTTTATCGGGCAAAGTTTTTTTCCTAGCTGCCAAATCGGTGGCACAAAGTTTTGTTACGCTTCTGCCGCGAATAGTACAAACATTGCGCATGAAATCAAAACTCAGGAAATTGGTATTTTAGTAACATGCAAAGTAACACAAACATGTTCAATGTTCATGGAAAGGATTGAAATGAAAATTGGAAAATTGAAGCTTGAACTTTGTCAAGAAGAAGGTCGCAAACTGCAAAGAATATCAACAAGGCCTTATTTATCATTTTTAAAAGATTATAGAATGCTCCCTAATAAGCAAAAGCAAGATATTGATGTTTGATTATTGATGCTGCCCACAATGTCTTGGGCACATGGATGATGGAAGTGAGCTCAACTTCAATAATCAGACCTAAGAATCACAATGGATATAGCCATGAGCCAGACTGCAAAGTATGGCAATTTTGTCCAGATGTTGTCAGTGCAGACTCCTTCGTCTGGTGCGGATTTAAGTGTGGTGCTGTGTGGATTTGGTTTGGTGTGGTGCAGATTTAGTGTAGCGGGGTGCGAAGTGTTCTCTCAGCCCCCTTTGGTGTTAATTTTCTGGCTCAGTTTGCAGGGTTTGTGTAAATTTTGAACTTAGGCCAGTGCTCCTTGGCGACCTGCGAGCCATACTCTGCAGTACTGGCCTGGGCCCATGAGCAAAGTAATATAATATAGTCTGTTCAAGATTCAATATAATAAGTCTGCAAAACACATTCCAGCAATTGTAATTGAAGCAGAATGAATTGTAGTGACCTGCATTTGTATTTTTGTTGTGTCTGTGAAAAATAATAAATATACCTACTTATTGGAAAAATCGTGGCCTTTCAGCACATTTGGCAGAGTTGTGTGACTCTGATGTAGTGGCTCATGTGGAACGCAACGAGCTGCGGAACAAGCTTGAATAGCATTTTGCCTCAGGGCTATCTGCCAGAAACATTTCATCTGCATGAATTTATCTACAGGCAAGTCTGACAAATTTGTGGATTAACTGGGGACCTTGTAAGCCTGCATATTAAATTCTAGCCTACCAGCTCAGCCCTATCCTCAGTTTCAGCATTCAGCATGATAACAGTTCTGATCAAGCTCTGATTGTCACCACTGAGACACCAATGGAGTCCTCTGAAATTTTGCCTTTTAATTAAATTATTTGTAAGAGTTTCAAGCTATATTTAGACCAAACATTTCACTCTCAAAGATCTGCGACCTACCCCACTCGTCCAGTAGGATGCCTGGCGCGCAAACAGTCCAGCAGTGAGCTGCCAGCCGGCACGCAGGGCAGCAGCAGGCAGCGGCAGCAGCGGCAACTGGTGAACACGTCTTGGACTGCAGCCACGACATAATCTAGGCTAGCGTCTATTCAATTTGTCCATGTACAAGTCCCACAGCTCCTGCCCGAGGTGCCCGAGGTTGCGCAAGTCAGGGAACTGATCACCTCCAGCCCAGGCGTGGTTCACTGACTCAAGATATTTCAACTGACCAGTCAGAGTTCATGTTTTGCAACTTTTATCCAAGTTATTTGTAATTGTAATATTCTAAACTGAATTTTAGGCATGACTTCATTTTTTAAGAGCTACAAAGAACACACCTTCCCTGTGCAGCACGTCTATTGTCCTAACATTAGTCACATAGTTGCAAGAAGCGACTTGAATGCGGAACCTGCCTGTTTTGAAGCCCTGTTGTCTGTTGGGTGACACTGCACGGAGGTAAGGATGGGGTGTGATTTTGCTGCTGTTTGTCAGGTTCAATATGTGTGTCAATGATCACAAAGTACTCTAAAGGTTTAAAAAATGCACAGCATGGCCTAACAAAGCACATTACCTAGGTTTTGACAAGCAGCGCAGCGACTGTGGTACAAAGGCCCAGTCCTGGTCCCATGCTCATGTTAGTAGCTGGATCTGCTCCCAGGAAACAAAGGTAAAACACTATTGACAGCTTTAAGATGAAATCTGCAGGAAAACTAAGCCATCTATAAAATCTAACACCAGTAAAACGCCTTTTGGGCGAAGAACGAGCGAGCGAGATAGTGAGCCCTGCACGTGCAGAAGGGCGAGAGGGTACTTCCAACGGGCTTGTGCAAAGCACCCTTCTAACCGGTCACTAGCGGTGTACCAAATTTGAACGCAATCGGCCCAGCCGTTCCTGAGTTCTGGAAGCGGCATTCTGCACGTGCGCACGTGCAAACGGGGTCCAAAATGACTTTTGCACGGCAGTCTACTAACCGGTCCCCAACCGTGTACCAAATTTGAGCGCAATCGGCCCAGCCGTTCTCGAGATCTGGAAACGCCCCCTGCACGTGCGCACGTGCAGTAGCACCCTATCCGCAACACATGGGAATGCATTGCCTGGTGGGTGCCTACCTGTATGCCAAGTTTCAGCGAAATCGCCCCAGTAATTACCGAGTTACTGAAATGGGAACAAATTTGGCACCTTTTATTGTTGTATTTTGCACGTGCAGTGGGGGTCATTCACATAGATCAAGAGTATCCGACCATTGGTAGAAGGGATGCAGCTACCCTATAAAAATGACCGCAAGACAATCGCCCAAGCGGCTGCTGAGATATGAGCCTCTCAAAATCACTACTTTTGCAAAACAGCTTGAA